GATGTTCAATACAGCTGGCAGTGACAAAACCCTGTCCAGCCGTGTGTACAACTGCAAACGCAGGTGGAAAAGAAGCAGAAAGTGCAATGCGAGTTGATATATAAGGACGCTAGTAGGTTGGAGGTTGGAGGCCATCGCTTATAGAAGCAAAGAAAAGGTATCATTTTTCATCGCCCGATTGCACTGTGACCGACACCCAGGCACAACGACGATCTCCGCGAGTTGCTGCCCTGGCTGGACAGGAGGTTTCCATTACTTTGATGGGAGCACCAACTATGCGCTTCTTGGTGGGGAAGGTATCCAAGGCCAAAGACACTTGAAGACTTGTCACACCCAGACGCCCTTTGCGGGCGAGGAGAGTAGAAACATTGTGCATTTTCTGCGAAATAGGAAAAGGTATCTTTCGGACGCTCTGCGCAGTGATGGTTCTCAAGTACCTTCAGGTATGAGATTTCATTTCGCACCCCATGAATGAAATTGGCATCAGGGGCTTTCAATGTGATTTTGTGATCTAGACATGTCATGCACCAGCTGATATTTTTTTGTTTAACTTCCAATTTCATGGCTTTGCTCCCCCCAACCTTTCACCCAACACACCTTGCAACCCGTGTGTGCATGAGATACATCTTACACGGTAGTTTGTTTTGTGGACACATTTTGTACACTCCCCGTTATCCGCTTTTGTGTTATTCCTTTTTAGAAATGCACTACCACTCCGCCTGTGTGATGGCAAGGGGTGCGTAGCGTGTGGATCCGAGTGCAAGATCAAGTACCTTTGCACCAAGGTAGGATCAAGGTGAACGAGCGAGGACGCTACTGGTAGCTCATGGCCATACTACAAGTAGGGGCCTCGCTACTAAGAGCAAGAAACTACTAGTGACAAAGCTTATCGCTACTAGGAGCAAGAAACTACTAGTGACAAAGCGCATCGCTACTGGGAGCAAGAAACAACTAGTGACAAAAGGCATCGCTACTGGGAGCAAGAAACAACTAGTGACAAAGGGCATCGCTACTAGGAGCAAGAAACAA